TTTTTTTTTGGGTTTTTTTAATAAAATTTTTGGGAAATTTTTTTTTTTTTTTTTTTTTTTTTTTTTTTTTTTTGTACACAACAATGAACAACAATATATTCGGGCATTAAGGTAGGTAGAAAAAAAATTAATTTACATTCAAACAATGAAATCGAGAAAATTATTCACAAGATCAATACGGGCAAAAGTGTGTTCATTGATGATGATGATGATGATGTGTCATGTCATACAAATAACTTAATTATTTTTCAATATACAATTTTCAACGGATTGTCTGCCGGTTCAACAGTGTTATTATAACTATTGATGATGAGATGCGAAACAATATGGCTATATTCTCATCATCATTGTTAATAAATAAATATTTTACAACGAAAACCAGAGGCAAATTTCAAACATGATGATGATAATTGAAAAAAATATACATAAATACAAAATTTACATGAATATAATAAAAGATCAATCGAAAAAATATGATACAAATATAAATACAGATGTAATATTGAACAGACTTTTTATTTTATTTTTAGAATTGGTCATATAAATTTATGAATTTTAAATCGAATCATTCAAAATAGAATTCAAATTTTCAATGAAAATTTGAGATAAAGAAATACAAGAAAAAAAATCATTATTAGGGCCACCATATGTATCATAGTTCGATCATTAGGGAGAGAGAGAGTTGGCCTTATTTTTACAGGGTTTGCATATGATGGATTCCAATTAGGAATACACAATCCAAACAAACTTGGTATGAATGACAAAAAAAAATATAGAAATAATTCCAGTTGCAACCATAATAAAAAAGAAAGAAAAATCACTGTAATATTGAATATGAATTGAACATCAACTGATTCTTTATCTTTATTATATATTTGTTGTACGTGTAATTTTAAGTAGTGGAAGATTCATATTATTCTTTTTCTTTGTTCAAGCCCTACGGAAGAGTTTCGACAACTTTGTATTTTTGGTATGCCCAATTGTAAAGGCCAATTTATAAATTTTTTTTTTGCATTCAATATAGCTTGTTTTTGGAATAAATTGAATTTAAATTCACTGAGCCACATCATCATGATCATAATCTTGACTTGTTTTCAGGGCAATCAAAATCCTATTGATATTGAAATCCTATATGTTTGTAATAATTTCAGACATGAATTTTTTTTAAAATCAAATTTTCAAAAAAAAATTCCATAAAAATCAATGAGGACTTGCAAATCAAAAAAAAAAAAAAAAAAAAAAAAAAAAAAAAAAAAAAAAGGAATTTTTTTAAAAAAAAAAAAAAAGAGGAGGGAAAAAACCCAAAAAAAAAAAAAAAAAAAAAAAAAAAACAAAACAAAAACAAAATACAGGAATTTATTTAAAAAAGAAAAAAATGAGTAGTGAATAATCCCAAAACTTGGTGTGATTGTTGTCGTATATAAATATTTGACTGGACATGACTATCTTTAGGTCAATATTTGTTAAACAAATATTAAAGTAAAGCAATAAAAATTGGCTAGAATAAAAAGTGTTAAACAAAAAATTGTTGGCCATCGATTGAATCCAATTAAAAATGTTCACCCCTTTGTTTACTAATCAAATTATCGTGTATCCCTTTTTTTTCGTTCATTCGTAGAATAGGATTCCGAAATAGGATCATAATAATTGATCATGTTGATGATACGAAATTTGAGCCACACATGGATGTGAGTATCAATTTTTCTTTGATTTTTTTCATCATTCAAAGCAATGAATGAACAAAACTTGAGCAATTAAAAATAAATAGAAATAGACAAAGAGAAAGGGAATAAAAATGTTCAACGAAAGCATTGTCGATGTGTGAATGAAAGTAAAAGTGTTGGTACTGTTTAAAACTATACATCATAAAAGTATAAAAATATCCTCATAGAATTTATTATCAACAAAAATTAAAATAGCGAAACATTCACAAGAAATTAAAAAAAATGCGGCAAGGAAAAAAATCCAAATTCAACATTCAAAGTAATTGATTGAGGTTTTTGTGAATTAATTGTTTTGCTAAAAATGCTTGGCTTTGTTTTTGGCGAAATTGTCGTTTTTGTTGTTTCATCGTCATCGGATAGCCAAATTAACACAAAAAAAATCAGCATTAAAATCAGCATTTCAATTGAATTTTAAGCTCATCGACAACGAAAAAAAAAATGTTAACTAGTTAGTTTTAAGTGTGATAGAATTGTCAAACATTGAATTATTTTAAAATTGTTATTCGAAATTTACAGGAAAATAAATTTAAGAACGAATAAAAGAAATTAGCATAGCTTGATTCATTTCAATGCTATTATATAATTCAATTCTTTCCAAAATAAATCAATGCCCAAAGTGTTTTATATTTTCTAGTGACATTTATATCAATTGAAAGTTTGACAAAAAACTTGTAACTTAAAAAAAACACACAAACAACAACAACAACAATGACAGGAATGAATATCATCGAATCAGGCTTGTATAATGAGTTTAAAAAGAAAAAATGAACGGTAGATCGGATCATACAGTTATATCCACACATAATAATAATAATAAAGGGAAACGGGCTTCAAAATGTACATTAGATTCTTTACCGAATG